TAATTACTTTCAACGTTCTTCATAGCATTCTCATTCTGTTAATAATAAACATTTTTAGTAGTTCATTGTTTAATTCATATTGCTGTGGATGAACTTATGTGCAAAAACAATGAGAATCAAATTTCGATTTTATTTTCACACAATGTGCAAAGTAAAAATTAATTAGTGTAAAAAAGTAATTGATTATTGCGATTTCAGTGATTTATAAGTTTTATAATGCTAAATCTTTTGCTGAGAGTCGACCTGATAAATACGCATTGCGAGTTCTAGAAATGTTTCCAAAATTTCCACAAGTATTTGCTACTGGAAACTGGTTCATTGAACTGACCTGGCATACACTTAACTGCAAGAAGTAATTCATATCTTAATTATTATATCTTTATTGCCAGTGAACAGTCCAGCTAAAGTATTACCTATGATGCTTTCTATGTTTTTTAAGCTTTTGTCAAAAATAATTTTTGATTATTTTCTTAAAATACTAGAAAGAAAAGTAAGAGAGGTAATATTTTGTTAATTTTGATTACATTTCAAATGTTTTACAAACGCCAAATTTTGTTACAAGAATTTATCTTCTACAAAAATTGCTAAAAGTGATTACTAAGAAACAAAAGATTATAATTTATACTATCACATAAAACAGTTAAAAAAATCTTCTTTTCAAAAATTCAAGTTTTTTAAATTAATTTCAATGCTTACTTGAAATTGATTAGCGTAAGTAATAGTAGTAGAATCAACTTCGTTCGATGTTGATGAGATAAAACTTTGTCCACTTATACTTTGATTCATTCTTGATCTGCAACAGATCATTTTATCTCTCAACATATTTTAATACTGTCCTCAACATATTTTAATGCTATCTTTATAAGCATATTTTAGTACTTTTATTATTATTATTATTTTATCAAAAATTGAATTTTATTCCTTTATAATTACTGCTACTAAGAAATAAAACATATTAGTAAGTTATTATTTAATAACAACAAAAGTTTGTTTAATTAATTTGCAGTGCATTTTTCTAACATGTGTTATCAACAAACTTATGCTTTTGTTGTTGCCAAATTTGAAAACGCTTTCGAAAAAATCTGAATAAAGCCAGCAAAGAGAAGAAAATTATGATAGAGATAATGAGAAGGAAAATAGAAAGGTTAACGAATCCGAAAAATGATAAGTCAGAAGCTGTACGTTCTTGCAAGCACGTTTCATAGATTAGTTTTCCAGAACCAATTTCATCTGCACCTTCTAGCAATGCGTAACACAAGCAAAATGTATAATTCTATAAGATATAATTATTTGCTTTTAGACAACTTTACATTTTGAAAAATATTTTACAAATTTATTAATAAAAATTGCTGTTTGTTCCAAAACAAAATTTCTTCACAAAAAAAACGACTCTATTTCTTGGAATAGGAGTGATTTTACTTACAAATACCTGATTACTTTTTAACAAAATCGGAAATATATTTAGTTATAATATTTACTTCTCCAGCTTTAAGTCTCATAATGTTATAAGTATTCCATGGATTCTGAAGTGATAGCTGAACCATACGGATAGTTATACCATAGTTATCACGAACTGCCACATAAAAATTAATCCGTTTTTTAGAGCTTATATATAAAGATGCATTCCATGATAATGTTACATAATGTGAGCCAACCTGAATTTTGTGATATTACTATAAAGTAAATTTGATTTTTGGAAACCTTTCATTTCATTAAATAAAGCACATTTTAACAATGTGTTGCCACCAAATTCAATGCAACCCAAGAATAATTGAATAATTGAAGCATAAACAAAAACATATTATGTATTTATTATTTTTAATTTTTATATGGATTTTTGTGTTATTATAAAAATCAGAACATATATAACTGTTGTATATGCTATATGAAGGTAATTAGTTGACATGTTGACAACGTCATTAAATTAACAGTCTTACTTCGAGAGCACGAAGCATAATAGACGGCTGTTTCACCTTTAATTGTATTTTTCGATGGACCAAATCATCCGCACGTTTAACTGTACATTCATATTCGCCTTCATCTTCTGCTAACACAACATCTAACCTATGCATAATTATTTTATATTTTAACTTTCATTTCAAAATGTCGACTTAAAATTTAAGCATTCAATTTTTGAAGTAATTAACATAATGTATGAAAAATTTTTTGCTCATTAAAGGAAAATAAATTTATAAAATTAGCCAGTACGGATATAATATCTGCAAGATAAGAAAATTTTTAATAATGACCAGATCTGCTCCTTTGTTGTCCATACACGTGGCTGATCAGCTATTTTCTGATCTGCTTTATTGAGCTGACGATGAGATGAACGATAGTAAGAATTAGGAAAAGGAAAATGCAAATCATCTGGTTCCACTAACTCTTTAGACTTAAAAAAGCAAGTAAGTAATGAAAATAATAAAAATTTGACTTTGCATGTTCAGAAAATGAAAAAATTTGAAAAAAAATCAAATGTTACCATATAATCTTGAGCTAAGACTTTAGTATTATTTGGAAATTTCCATAATATACTATCTGATGGTTGACGTGACACACAATAAATAGAATATTGTTCACCGATAGTTGCTTCTAAGTAGTCACCAAATGGTAGTATTGGTTCAATGTGACACTCTTCAGATGTCCAAGTTGTATAACTTGTTAGACTATAATGAGTAACAAAAAAACAAAAAATAATGTACATATATTTGTAATTTTTGAATTTTATGTTCGCAAATATTTAGGTTTATGCCTAATCCGAACTTTTTGAAAGAAAAGTTCTTACTTTTCAACATATCCATCTGCAAAGGTACAAGCTGTTTTTAAAAAATCATTTGAACGTATAGTATGCATTTTAATAGATTCCATGATACAACCACATTGGAGTGGATTATGATCAAAAAAGCCTTTTGAAATAGTTAGTAATAATTGATCTGGTAAAACAATCAATCCACAATGTGAAATATCTACGCTGTAAATTAGTTCAGAAAGTAAATTAACTTTAAAATAGTTAAATGTATTAATATCATTGTAAATAAATATAAATTGTAAAAATGCATGAAAATAAAGTAGCACGAAAAATAAGTAAAATTAGGTACAAAAATAAGTAATTGTGATTCAGAAATGACCTATAAAGCATAGTGTTATTTACAAAAGCGCGTGGTGATATGAAAGAAAGAGAGTTGGAGTGACTTAAATTGACAGTTTGCAAATTTGGCAAGTGTAAAAATGCAAACTGTTCGACTATCCGTAAATTTGAGCTATAAGATAAATCAAGTACCTGAAACAAATAAGTTCATTTAAAATAACACATAAATTTTAGCGTTCTATTTAATTACTAACACTTCACTACAGGAAATTAATTTTTTTTTAAATTCAAAAAAAGCTTTAAGGTAAGCTAGACTTTTTATTAAAGATAAACAAAACAAGTATTATTCTAAACTTAATTCTGAAACAAAACAATCCACATGCATTTAGTTTATATTAGACTTTGAATCAACGAAAATAAAATGTCAGAGAAATATCTTTAATAAAAATAAAATAAAATAAGCAAAATAAATTAGCCGAAAAAAATAATATTGACTGTGCTAACATGTGGGAAAATTTACTACATAAAAATTACTAAAGACAAACAGAAAATTCAAACATAGAAGAACTAGAAACTTACTTGTAACATTGGATGTTTTAGTTCAAAGTTTGTAAGCCGTGTAATGCGATTCGAGCCTATTCTAAGATTGCGTAAACCAACTATTTGCAGTAAATCTATGCCCGGAATTGTTTCTATATCATTGTGTGATAGATCAAGCATTTCTAACTACAAAATTATTATAATATTTAATCAAATTTAATTTTAAAAAACACACTTAAAGCTACAAACTACTATTCACATTATTAGTTATACCTTAAGACTAGATAAGATATGACTAATTATATGAATATTTATTTTTAGCTTTATAATCATAAAAATGAAAAATGGAAATTAATTAATAAAATTCGTCCAAAAATACTGCACTAAATTCAAAGTGAATCATACTTGTATCATTTTTAGACTGCTCATTAAAAGTTAATTAATATAATAAAATAAGATACCTGATATAAAGGTGCAAAAGAGTCATATTTAAATGTTTTAATTTTGTTGTGTGATAAATTGATCTTTTTCAACCTAAATAAAAATGTGATAAAAAAGATGAAAATTAAGATTTTTTCGGATATTGCTTATTTATTTGCATTTATATGCACGCATTATATTTTACATGTAGTGAACTGCATCTATAGCACAAATAAAATTTGAGCTGAAAAAGAATTACTTAACATAATTTTGTAGTTTCTTCTAGAAATACAGTGAAAGAGATAGAGCAAAAAATAGCTCTAGACAGATAACAAAAAATATTAATAACTTTTGAGCAGAAAAGAAGTCGCTGCTTTTAATGATCTGTAAATTGTTATAGCTCAAGTCAAGATATTGCAAATTCGGTATTGATCGTAGCATATGTTCGTGTATGTTCTGCAATCAGTCTGACTTAATCATATTTAACTCACAATCAATATGTGATATTTTTTTTGAGCAAAAAATTATATTCAGTCTTTGTTATTACTTTTTACTGAATAAAGTAATCAATCAATTTAAGCAATCAAAAAGTGTACCATAAGATTATTATTTGAAATAATAAGTTGTTGAAGATAAAATAAACGAAATGCTTCCCAGTCCACTTTATTGATATAATTGTAACTCAAATCAAGTAATTCTATTGCTGGGAACATAATGAAAGCATCACGTTCAATCACCTAAATTCGTAATGATTTTCATGATAATACTTACGTACCTTTTTTATTTGAATTTCATAAAATTTGCAACATAAGCTAAGTTAAAAGTTTAATATTGTCTAAAAGAAAGAGAGATAAATATTTATTGCAAAAAATTTTGAAGATAAAGTATAGCTGAGAGGAGACATTTTCTTCTAACTTAACTTACTCTGAAATGATTGTGTTTAAGGTAAAGTTGCTTTAGATATGGATACTTATTATTTTGTGGAGTATTAAATATCGAAAGGCAGTTGTTAGAAAGATCCAAAAAGCTGAAATTGAAATAAATCTGCTATATGATGTCTGAAATGGATGATTAAGACCAAGTAAAAGTTATTCTTTGTTTGAAGGCTATTCACATAAGTATTACTAATTAAATTATGCAAGCAAAGAAACAATAATTTTTTGTTTATCTATAAAAACATACATTAAACGTTTTAAGTGAGGAAAATATGTAAGATCACAAATGGCACTTTGAATTACAGTAAGATTTGTAAGAGTCAGTTGTTGTTTATTCAGTTGCTTAAAAAATAAATCAGAATCAGCAATGTTCGAGCAAACTTTAGATATCCATCCTAAAAAGTAGTCATAAATTTAAGTGATAAATAGCAATACTTTTTCATTTATATTTTAATCAAATTAAATATTGATAAGATCGAAAATTGTCATCAAAAATTTGATTCTTTTATAACTAACTCTATGTTCTGTTGCTCTATGCACTGTTGATTTAATAAATGCTAAACAAAATTATACTTCTTTACAATTTTATCTTAAAAGTAGGCAATTTTAAAGGATCAAAGTTTAAACTAGCTGAAAATTATATTTTAGCAAATGCAAGTACAAAAACTATTTCAAAAATAAAATGAATTTAAAAAATAAATAAAATTTTTTACTTATATTGTTTATTATGAATATGAATTTAATTTCTGTTTTTAACAAATGAATAATATATTAATCACCTGTACAGTTACAATTCCAAGAACAATTAGTTCCTTGCATTTCAGATTGCACCATGGAGAAAGTAAATTGTTGTCTGCATGTGATAATTAAAATCACTGCATAAATGCCAAATTTTGTTGCAACTTTTGTTATCATTTTAGCAATCAAAATTGATAATTAGTATAAACTTTTCAAACGAAGATCAGAATATATCCCTAAATAGCAAATCATTTTGTAAAGAACGCTTGAAAGTAGAAAAAATTTGGCAGTTGTAGGAATTATGATATTAAAAATTTTTTCTTTCACACTTAATTGCGTCAGTTCAGTTTATTTTTGACAGTGCTGAAGACTACTATAAGATAATCCTTTTTAATTATGACCTTATTTTCTTCCCACAAGATAACAAATCCTGGAAATGAAGCTTACCATAGAAGTGCACAGTTTGAACTTCCGAGAAAGTATTTAAAAGAAAAATACCCAACAATCAAATCAATTATTGTTATTTATTTGTTAATAACAATAATTAAGACAGAATATAATTTAAAAAAGTGCACTGAAACAAATTCTAGAAAATCTCTTACTACAACATAGATCATAACATTTAATCATCAAGCAAATTTTCGAAACGGAAACGTTTTTTGATAGAAAGTCATATAATTTTATGACTACATTATTTGATAATTACATCTTTACAGAGCTTGAAAATCTTAAAGACTTAAAAAGTTTAGCTGCTTTGCAAGTAAAAGCTAAGTAAATTGAGATAGAATTTGCTTAAGAAATCACATGTTTATAACAATGCATTCCGGTAATATCCAGATTCCATATTTGCTAAATTCATTACTCAGCATTATTATTTATCAGTATTAAAAAACATTAGTTGCAACCTATTATTAAAAATTCTCAGCAAATTATTTAAAACTAATAATTTGCAAAGAATTTTTGTACGCATAAAAGTTTTCGTTTTTCGTTCATACATTTGATAGTTGCTCTTTTAATGTAGTTTAATTTTGTTAGAAACTTTCTAGTATAATCATTACTTAATGTTTTTGTCACGAAACAAGAACGTTTGCAAATAAATTCAAAAGATTTACATTAAGGTTATCAAGGAACATGTGAAGCAACACGATAACACTCTTGTTATTATGAGCATGATAATAACCAAGAGCATAATCAAAAATTATAAAAGAATTTGAATATAATTATAGCAATTTCAGATGCATTAGAAAAAACTGGTGCAAATGTCAGCTATCAACTATTAATTCATGAATGATTAAATAATAGATGTAATTTTGAACTAATATATATTAATTTATTTATTTAATATATGATAAAAATATGTATTAAATGAATAAATATATATATATATATTTACTTACTTTATTTTGTTTCATATATATATA